TACGACGTCATGAATTACAATCACGAAATGAAAAATTTACGATTACGCTTTCATCAGTACGAATACGAATTCACAGACGGAACTTTACTGTCAAAAATACGTCATCACTTCACAGACATTATTCATCGAGCAGAAGAAACATCGATCAAGATCAAGACTGCGCAGCTCAAGTTTGTAGCAGAGTAAAAACAGAGTAAAAGCACAAGGAGCAACAACAGCGACCAAACAAGTGGGTTCATTAAAATCTATTGTAAAAATGACTTGAATTCGGGAACCGAACGCTGCTGTATAATATTGTGTAGAAACACCTCCTTTGAACGGGAAATTGCACCTATATGTTAGAAAACATAGTGGAGCCAGTTGGCAACATCAGACGTAACGTTATCCCAGGGCTAATTAGCAAATATCAGGTTCTCTGTATGTTTAGATTAAAACATTCTTCTGCTCGATGGATAATGTCTGTGAAGTGATGACGTATTTTTGACAGTAAAGTTCCGTCTGTGAATTCGTATTCGTACTGATGAAAGCGTAATCGTAAATTTTCATTTCGTGATTGTAATTCATGACGTCGTAATTTTTCAATTCGTATTCTGATGGATAAAATACACACAATATATTTTATGTACGACTGGACTCATTTGAGAGTTTACAAATTATTATTTTATGCGCAACTACAGCCAAATATGCACGGATTTCCCAAATACGCACGGATTTCTATTTTATGCGCACAAATATTTTTGACAGCTTTCTTACTCCATACGCATCTGTCTCTCTCCTCCTCCCTCATTCACCCCCTTCTCTCTCTCTCTCTCTCTTCATGTTTTCCCCATCTCTCTCTCTCTCTCCCTCCCTCCGCCCTTCTGTCTCTCCTGCATTCATCCCTTCTCTCTCTCTCTCCTCCCTCCCTCATTCTCCTCTTCTCTTTTTCTCTCTTCCTGTTTTTCCCTCTCTCTTTCTTCCCATCTTTCTCTCCCCCCCTCTCTCTTTCTCTCTCTCCTCTTCTGTCTCTACCTCCCACCCTCATTCCCCCTTCTCTCTCTCTTTTCCCTCCCTCTCTGCTTATGTGTCTTCCTCTCTTATTCTCCCTCTCTCTCTCTCTTCCCATCTCTGGCCCCCCTCGCTCTCTATCTCCCTCTCCCCCCATTCTCCCCCTCTCTCTTTCTCCCTCCATATTTTCCCTCTCTCTCCCCATCCGTCTCTCCATCCTTCCCTCATTCTCCCCTTCTCTCGTTCTCCCTGTTTTTCACTCTTTCTCTCCCTCCCTGTCTCTTCCTCCCTCTTCCCATTTGTCCCTCCCTCATTCATCCTTTCTCTCTCTCTCTCCCTCCCTCCTTCTCTCCTCCGATCTCTGTCTCCCTGTCTTTGTTCCTCCCTCTCCCCTTCTCTCTCACCCTCCCTCCCTCATTCTCCCCTTATCTCTCTCTCTCTCTCTCCATGTTTTCCCCCCTTTCTCTCTCCCCTTCTGTCTCTCTCTCCCTCATTCCCCCCTTCTCTCTCTCTCTCCCTGCAACCCTCTCTCCCTCCCTCTCTCTTCACATCTCTCTCGCTCTCATCCCTCTTTCTCCCTCCCTCATTCTCCCCTTCTCTTTCTCTCTCCCTGCCCCCCCATCCCTCCCTCTCTCTTTACATCTCTGTCTCTCTCTCTGTCTCTCTCTGTCTCTTCTCTCTCTGTCTCTTCTCTCTCTCTCTGTCTCTCTGTCTCTTCTCTCTCTGTCTGTCTCTCTCTCTGTCTCTTCTCTCTCTGTCTGTCTCTCTCTCTGTCTCTTCTCTCTCTGTCTGTCTCTCTCTCTGTCTCTTCTCTCTCTGTCTCTCTCTCTGTCTCTCTCTCTCTGTCTCTTTCTCTCTCTCTGTCTCTCTCTCTCTCTGTCTGTCTCTCTCTGTCTCTCTCTCTGTCTTTCTCTCTCTCTCTCTCTCTTCTCTCTCTCTTTCTCTCTCTCTGTCTCTCACTGTGTGTCTCTCTGTCTGTATCTTGCTGTCTCTTCTCTCTCTCGCTCTCTCTCTCTCGCTCTCTCTGTCTCTCTCTCTTTCTCTCTCTGTCTTTCTCTCTCTGTGTCTTTCTCTCTTTCTGTCTCTCTCTCTGTCTTTATCTTGCCGTCTCTCTCTCTCTCTTCTCTCTCTCTCTCTGTCTCTCTCTCTCTCTCTCTCTCTCTCTGTCTTTCTCTCTCTCTCTCTCTCTCTCTCTCTCTGTCTTTCTTCTCGTCTCTCTCTGTCTCTCTCTCTGTCTCTCACTGTGTGTCTCTCTCTCTGTCTTTCTTTTTTTCTCTGTCTCTCTCTCTGTCTCTCACTGTGTCTCTCTCTCTCTCTCTGTCTGTCTCTCTATCTGTCTTTCTTTCTTTCTGTGTCTCTCTGTGTCTGTTTCTCTGTCTGTCTTTTGCTCTCTGTCTCTCCCTCTGTGTCTTTCTCTCTGTGTCTGTCTGTCCGTCTGTCTCTCTTTCTCTCTCTGTCTCTCTCTCTTTTTTTCTTTCTCTCTGTGTCTGTCTCTCTGTTTCTCTCTCTCTCTCTCTGTATCTCTGTGTCTCTCTCACTCTCGCTCTCTGTGTATCTCTATCTCTTTCTCTGTCTCTCACTGTGTCTCTCTATCTCTGTGTCTGTATCTCTATCTGTCTTTCTCTCTATATATCTATCTTTTTCTTTCTTTCTCTGTCTTTCTTTCTCTCTATCTGTCTGTCTGTCCTTTTTGTCTCTATCCCTGTCACTCTCTCTCTTTGTCTTTCTCTTTGTGTCTCTCTCTCTTTTTCTTTCTCTCTGTCTCTCAGATATATAGATAGACAATCTATCTATCTATCTATCTATCTATCTATCTATCTATCTATCTATCTATCTATCTATCTATCTATCTATCTATCTATCTCTCTATCTCTGTCTCTGTCTCTCTCTTTCTTTCTGCGTCCCCTGTGTCTCTCTCTGTCTTAATATTGTTTTTTTGTTTCTTTTTTAACGTACATATAAAAAAAAAAAATCCCCAAAAAACAACTCTTCAATCTAAAACTATTTATTTTATTTCTGAAGGTTTTTTATTTTATTTTTTATTTTATTTTGAATGTCATGAATTTGGCATTTCCACTGTCGTGTGTCTGACCTCAGAATGTGCATGAAATTGATGGACGCCACTTATTGTCTCACGCTGACACTGAAAAACACCAGACCTCTCCCTCCTGTTCTCTCTCTCTCTCTCCCTTTCTCATTCTCCACTTCTCTTTCCATGTTTTCCCTCTTTCTTCTCCCTCCCTCCCTCTCCTTCTCCCTCCCTCCCTCATTCATCCCTTGTCTCTCTTTCTCTCTCTCCCCGTTCCCCCCACTGTCCCTCCCTCTCTCTTCCCATCTTATGGAGTAAGAAAGCTGTCAAAAATATTCGTGCGCATAAAATAGAAATCCGTGCATATTTGGCTGTAGTTGCGCATAAAATAAATATTTGTAAACTCTCAAATGAGTCCAGTCGTACATAAAATATACTGTGTGTATTTTATCCATCAGAATACGAATTGAAAAAATTATGACGTCATGAATTACAATCACGAAATGAAAATTTACGATTACGCTTTCATCAGTACGAATACGAATTCACAGACGGAACTTTACTGTCAAAAATACGTCATCACTTCACAGACATTATCCATCGAGCAGAAGAAACATCGATCAAGATCAAGACTGCGCAGCTCAA